CCAGATCCTTCTTGCAGAGCTGCTGTTGGTCAGGATATGATCAATTTGCTAGCTCCTGATAAAGATAGCCAGAAGTACACAAGTTATTTTGTCAGATCATACGTTGAAGACAATAGAAAGGTAAGCTAGCAAATGCAGTTTGATCATGCGTGAGACATGTGCATGTTGTTTATTTGTCTTATGTTAACCTTCAAATGAAAAGCAGTGCATAACTTTAGTGTTCTTTATCCGCCCATATATGTGCTCACCGAGGTAGTAATGCATCTTTTATTTTGTAGACCAAGTGGTGTCCCGCTCCTGGCTGTGACTATGCTGTAAACTTTGTTGTTGGAAGTGGTAATTATGATGTGAATTGTCGCTGTTGTTACAGTTTCTGCTGGAATGTAAGTTGCTCTATAGAATAGTTTCATCTTTCCATTGTGTAAAATTTAATTGACAAAACCATACAATATGACTCGATCGTCATGGGTCTGCAGTGTGCTGAAGAAGCTCACCGTCCTGTTGATTGTGACACCGTTTCTAAGTGGGTATTGAAGAATAGTGCTGAGTCTGAGAATATGAATTGGTACGTTGATTTATGAAATATATTTGAGTTATGTAGATGCTAAAGATGTTTGGGATGTTGTACTCGACCTCAAAGGGTGCTAAGAGTTTTTTAAAATATTTGGGTTCCTTATATTGTATGGGTAGTGCTGGCTAGCATTTTGTAAAGCCAAAGGAAGTCAACATGGTGGATAATTTTGCAGTTTTAACTATTAGTTTTAATCTTCCATCTCCTAGCATTAGGGTGCATGCTGCTTTACATTATGTATTGTTGCCTCTAAATTCCATATTGACTTTCAGGATTTTGGCAAATTCCAAGCCCTGTCCAAAATGCAAACGGCCAATAGAGAAAAACCAGGGTTGTATGCATATTACATGCACCCCGCCATGTAAATTTGAGTTCTGCTGGTAAGTTGACAAAGTGGTTGATTGCACCGAATGCCATCATGTCAGAAGTTTAAAGTTGTGCTTTTATTATCTCTATACTTCCTGGAATCTAACTCTTAAGTGAATTTCATGTTTTTAAATCTGAAGCGAAATAGAAATAAAGTGGATTTATTTTAGGTTTTGTCAGTGTATAAAAATCTGCTTTGTATTTTCTTTCTGTAGTTTTTTGTATCTTGTAATCTGATCGTCATATGAATCTGGTTATGTAAGATTCATTTTCGCTCACAATGAAATCTCATTATAAGTAGTTGTATTGTATAAATGCAGGCTTTGCCTTGGAGCGTGGACAGAGCATGGTGAGAAGACAGGAGGCTTTTATGCTTGTAACCGTTATGAAGCAGCGAAACAAGATGGCATTGTATGAGTTCTGTGCATTGTTTATGTTCCTGGCTGACAACTAATATGTTTATTTTATATTTGACCACAGTTTTTGTCTTTCATAATCTTATTGTGCAGTATGATGAGACTGAAAAACGCCGAGAGATGGCAAAGAACTCTCTGGAGAGATATACCCACTACTATGAGAGATGGGCGACCAATCAATCGGTATGTAAATTCTTATTCATTTAATTTTCACATGTTTTATTTAAATCCTCTTAAAGGGGAAATTTAAGAAAGAGTTTTCGGCTGTCAAATTCAAATCCTTTGCTATGGAACAGAAAATCTATTTAATGACTAATCTGAACTATTTCATATTTTGATGTTTAATGACTAATCTGCAACTCAAATGTTTTTAATTGTTCGAGTTAGAGTAGTAAAAGATATGAAAATCTATATTTTTGGTTGAGAGCTTTGAAAAATTAAGGAAGTGAAGTGGAATGATTTGAAAAATTAAAGAGACTATGAAACTTTGAGGTACATGTAGTGCCTGTGATGTATTTTTCGTAGAAAGAACTGTTGTTCCTCCAGTTAGGAGAATTGTATCAGCTCATTTATATATCTGTTGGCTATGTTCGTTGGGGGCTTGGGTAATTTGACAAATCTGTTGTTGGAGTGACATGTAGTTAATAAGTCATGTAACTGCTGGAGCGAAGTCCTTTTCTAAATGTCTATGTCATATTAAGCATACTAATGAAATTAGGCTTGGGAAGGTTCATAATACACTAAATTAATAATCATTGAGATTTGTCTTATCCATATCATCTGCCTGAAGTTTCATGTTTCCTTTTTGGTAAAATTTATTCTTTATTAGATAATGACCCCGAAGAAAAATAAGTTTTCTAGATACTAAAAGCACATTGTTTATTCTAAAACAATTTACAAGTTTTTTCACTGCTTGCTGCAGTCTAGGCAAAAGGCGCTGGCGGATCTTGAGAAGATGCAAACAGATGATGTGAGCTTACAGTGCAACACTTGCTGATGTAAATAAGAATCACAAGTATTGCTTGATGTCAAACACGTGTTAAATATCTAAAATAATCATTGCTTGTTTTAATACCAATCCGTGATTCCAGATTTTGTATCTAGTTAAAAGTTCAGGAAGTTTGCTTAAGTTATCATGGTGATATTTTACAAGAGATAGCATATATGCCCTTATTGATTTTCTCTATTTTGGCATGAGACTTCTAACTTTCAATGAATTTTCTTGCTTTTTATATTGTTGGGTTTCACTAAAGCTTGTGTTTTATGGACTTCACAGATTGAGAAGCTCAGTGACATACAGTGTCAGCCTGAATCACAACTGAAGTTCATTATAGAAGCATGGTTACAGGTAAAATCCATTCCACGCGTGGCCTTTCTGAGATTTTTGGATTTTGCTCACTAATTTTCTCTACGATCATAGATAGTCGAATGCAGACGAGTTCTAAAATGGACATATGCCTATGGTTTTTACATACCTGACCACGAGCATGGAAAAAGAGTGTTTTTTGAGTACTTGCAAGGTAACTTGATTTAGCTCACATTTAAAATTAACTTTTCTTTCAAAACTTTTGGTATTGGTTCCTTGAGTGAATTACTCTGTACCTGTTTTTGCTGTTACTGGTCTTTTCCAAGTGGGAACAGAACAAAAGTTGGGAAAACATTATAGGAAATTAGGAAAAAGATGGATGGGGGGCAGGGGAGAGGAATGTTCTTCCTGCAAACGTGATCTTTGAAATGAAAAAGTTTCCGGTTCTAGATAGCGATTGCAGTTACCTATTATGTTCATGCATGAAGATGAGAATAAAAGATTAAACAACCATTAATCTTTGGTCTTTTCCAATTGTTGGATATTATATGGAGGGGGAGTAATTAGTGATGGTTAGATCCATCAGTAGTTGTTCATACGTGCATTGATGGATCTTGTCGTGATTTTATAGAAACATCATGGAGTCTTAGTAAAATAGGAAATGGTTTAGGATTTTCCCTATGTGAGATAATGTGGACTATATAGTCAAGCGTCACTCATAAGAAATTGGTCAAGCTCCTTAACCCAAATCTTAACCAATTCGGTCAGGGTTCGATTCCATCTTTGGCCACCTAATTTTAATTTGTTAATAGGTATAGGGACTTTTGTTTTTAACACGCTTTATGCTGCACAAATACATCATTTTATTTCGTCTCTTATTTTATCATACATTTAGGCGAAGCTGAGTCGGGTCTTGAAAGACTTCATCAGTGTGCTGAAAAAGAGCTGCAACCATACATAGATGCCAAAGGTCCAAGTGAAGATTTTAATGAGTTCCGCACAAAACTGGCAGGTTTAACAAGGTACTTTCCAAACATACAGAACAAAATGATAAATTAGTGGTATTGACAAGTCTAAATTTCAGTAGCTGTTAGGAAACAGTTTCAAGAACAGTTAGTTATGACTGACCCGCTAACCCAAACTTAGTGCTGAGTAAAAGAAATTAGAGAAAAGTTTAGGAAGTTTTTATTCATATAGTTGGCTCTGCGTTTTATGAAAGAAGCTAATAACATTTTGTTACCTGGAAACGAACAGTGTTACCAAAAACTATTTTGAGAACTTGGTTCGAGCACTGGAGAATGGGCTATCGGATGTGAGCTCGCATGATGCATATGATCGAACCTCAAGTTCAAAGAGCTTAGGTGGGAAGACTAAGGGATCGACTTCTAAAGCCAGCAGCTCCGATTCAAACCATTGGTCTTGTGAATATTGCACGTATGTAAATCCAAGGTCAACCACCATTTGCCAAATGTGTGAACATGGCCGATGAAATGTCAGCAAACTGGCATTAAAGACTGTAATAGTAATGTTTGGTCGCTTTTGGTCACAAACATGATCAAGCGTCATGTAACTTTGTATGTTTTCTAGTATTTGGAATAAACGGATCCAATAAATTGGATTATACTGGCCATGATTAATTTGCCAATGATGACAAAAGCGACAACATGAGAGGTGAATTATAAGTTCTTACAAGATAATTGTAAAAATTATGTTATTGCATTACTTGCTCTCTCCTGCTTTCATTTTTCTACATGATGTTCTATAAAGCTTTTTTGTTTCTTAACATTTTTACAGACCATCTATTTTTGTTCCAGTCAGGGGTTGAGCCAAGGTTGACCATCAGCACAAATCTACCGGGAGGAGGTTTTCGGATCCACCGTGTTGCTGAAGTCCATTTCCTTGAGAGAAATGATATGTGGCAAAAATAAAACAATGTGACTGACGCTCGGAAGCGATAAAAACTTTTATTCGAACTCTGGCAAAAATGTCCGATCGAACAAGTTGAGAATCCTCTTCTCTTTTCAAATTAGGTTTCGAACTCAGATCTCTTAACACCACCCAAAGAGAGATTTGCTTATAAAGACAAATTCAAAAACCTACAATGAAGTCCGTGTGGTCCATCATCCCTGTGGTATCTCCATTCTTATGAAAGAGTCTTGAGTCGGATTAGTCCTCTAAGGCTCTAACCGGAAGTCTCAAGAAGATTTTCTCTATGATGTCGTTTCGTAGTGATGATGGAGCAATCACTTCCATATCTTTCTTCCTTTGATTGATATATGAATGTCTCTTGTTATATCTCTCGGTCTTGTATTAGAATTTGAACACTCACTAATTTAATTTGTTTGTTGAAATTTATGCATTAAATCTAAAAAACCAAAGTGCCCACCATTGTTTACAGAAAGCCCACACAAACCAAATGAAGAGCTAATGGGCCCAATATGAAGCCCAAAATAAATAATGAAGGGAGGGAAGAATACGAAGAAATTGAGACGAAGCTCATACACTCTCACCGGAGTGAGCAAGTCTCGGCCGACGACGACATCAATCATCCCATAGCATCGAATCCTCTTCATTAGACAAGGAGATAGTCGTAAGATTTCCTGAAACCAATAGCCGTTGGACCAAACAGATGACAAAGTCGAAGAGATTGTGATCAAGGTAAATAAAATTACATGAAACTCCTCTTTCACGCATTTCGTCGAACACTTTGAATGCATCTATTGCTCTTCCATCTTTGCAAAGCTGCTTCATCACACAGTTATTCAGTATAGAGATTAAGGAAAACACCATCTTCATGCATCTTCTTATACATCTCAAACCCTTGTTTCTTAATCCCGATTTTGAAATAACCCATGAATCAAAACCGTGTAATTTTACAGTGAGAGTAATGGCAGCTAGAGTCAAGTTAGTTATGTAGAAATCAAAAGTTTAAAGAACTGCACTTCTTTATTAGATTTAGAAAACTCTCACAAAAACTAAATCTCTCTATTGAAGTCTTGTCGAACAACTCTCTACATAGAACTCCTTATATAGGCATAAGCAACATCCTAAACCTATTAGGATTACAAAACCAATTTCCATATTTTGTAAACCTTGTTTTCCTTTTTTCTAGTTCTCTAGAAACTTCCACTTTCTAAAGAAACTTGTTCCCCAAGTTCTGGAATTATCCAACATTCACCCCCGTAATTCCAACACGAATTGCAGGGTCTTCGATTGCTTGTACTCCGATCAAGTTCCTCATTTCCTTGAATTTGATTCGGGCTAGTGGCTTCGTAAGTATGTCCGCCTTCTGTAGTGTACCAGGAACATGCTCCACCTCTATTTGATCATTCTCCACACACTCTCTAATGAAGTGATATTTCTTGAGAATGTGTTTGCTCCTTCCATGAAAGACCGGGTTCTTGGTGAGAGCAATGGCTGACTTATTGTCAATCCTCAGTGTGACCTTCTCGTTTTTGCTAAGTATTTCTTCCATTAACTCCTTAAGCCATATAGCTTGCTTTGCGGCTTCCGTAGCTGCCATGAACTCAGCTTCGCAAGACGATAACGCGACGTTGGGCTGTTTCTGCGATGTCCACGTGATTGGTGATGAACCGAAGTAGAAGATGTGACCCGACGTGCTTCTTCCATCATCGATATCAATGTTATGACTACTATCACTGTATCCAATCACCTTGCTTGATTCATCTCTCCTGAAAAACAAACCCAAATTGGTAGTTCCCTTTACATATCTTAGTACCTGTTTAAGAGCTTGGCCGTGACTCTCTCTCGGACTTTGCATGTATCGACTTAGAACTCCAACAGCATATGCCAAGTCTGGTCTCGTGTGAAGCAGGTACCTCAAGCATCCAATGCTTCTCCTGTATGCCGTGGCATCAATCTCTGGCTCACTTTCTGCCTTTGAGAGCTTTATGTTTGCATTCATTGGAACTTGTGTGGGATTACATGTGTCCATCTTTGTATCCAAGAGAATTCCTTTTGCATAACCCTCTTGCTTTATGCGAATCCCATCAGCTCCTTGTATGACTTCAATTCCAAGATAGTATGTCAATTTGCCTAGATCAGACATCTCAAATTCTCTTGACATATCTTTCTTGAATTGATTGATGACTTTTAATGATGTTCCTGTCACGAACAAGTCATCTACGTATATTGCCACGATCAAGTAGTCTCCCTTATCCCCTTTGAGATACACGGACAACTCTTTCACACATCTCTTGAGGCCCATCTCTTTAAACACACGATTAAGCTTCACATTCCATGCCCTAGGAGCTTGGCGTAGTCCGTATAGTGCTTTGTGAAGTCGGTAGACTCTGTTTTCTTCTCCTTTCTTTTCAAATCCCTCAGGTTGGCTTACATAGACGGTTTCATTAAGGTCTCCGTTTAAGAAGGCCGTCTTGACGTCTAAGTGATGTATCTCCCAACCTTTTGCTGCTGCAAGTGCTATGAGAGAGCGGATGGTTTCGATCCGAGCAACAGGGGCAAACGCTTCTTCAAAATCAATGCCTTGTTGTTGTACATAGCCTTTTGCTACTAGCCTCGCTTTGTACTTGTTCACCGAACCATCTGCTTTTCTTTTGATCTTAAAGATCCATTTTAAACCTATTGGTTTTACCCCAATTGGTTTGTCAACAAGCTCCCAAGTCATGTTTTTCACGATTGAATCTATTTCAGCCATCATAGCTTCAATCCATTCTCGAAGATCCTTAGCTTCCCAATAGCTTTCTGGCTCGCCATCAATGGTGAACAGCAGCTTCTCACTTTCTATGTCAGCAAGAAGAATGTAATCATCAAGATATCTTGGTCTGTTGATTGCACGCCCGTACCTTGTTACGTACTGCTGGTTTTGGGCTTCTTCTTGATGTTCGTCATTATCGTTCTCAGCCTCTGCTTCTTCGTCTTGATTTTCAGGTTGCGGATCTTCTTGATAATCATCATTGTTCACTTGATTATCGTTATTAATATTGCCATCTTCAATAACTCCATTAAGTGTGAGCTTAAACATTCCAGGTTCTCCGCTCTCTTGTTGTGACAATGATGACCAGTCCCAAGCTTTCTTCTCTTCAAATATTACATCTCTGCTTACAAACACCTTCCTCGTGGTTGGGTCGTAGAGACGATAGGCTTTGGAGCCTTGTTCAGTTCCAAGATTGATCACACATCGCGACCTATCGTCTAGCTTCTTTAGATAAGGTCCGGTGATCTTTATATATGCGACACATCCAAAGACTCTTAAATGTTCAATATTCGGTTTCTTGGACATGAGGCACTCATATGGTGTTTGATCTTTCAAAGCTTTTGTAGGGACTCGGTTGATGAGATATGTGGAGTGACGTACGGCTTCTCCCCACATATCATTCGGAATTTTCATTGCCTTAAGCAAACTTCTTGTCATCTCCATCAGAGTGCGATTTCTCCTTTCTACTACACCATTCTGTTGAGGCGTGTATGGTGCAGTTAAGTGACGATTAACTCCGTTTTCTTCACAAAACGAGTTGAATTCATTCGAGGTAAACTCTCCTCCTCTATCGGTGCGAAAAGTTTTAATCGATTTCCCCAATTGCTTCTCCACAAAATCTTTAAATCTTTTGAACCGATCAAACGTCTCACTCTTCTCCTTCAACAACATTGTCCACATGTATCTTGAGAAATCATCAATTAATACGAAAACGTACCGATTGTTTGCTAGTGTTGGCGGTGAGATAGGTCCGCATAAGTCTCCGTGAATCAACTCCAAGGCTTGAGTTGCCCGGTAAGACGCTTTGATTGGGAAAGGTTTTCTTGTTTGTTTCCCAACTAAGCATGCGTTGCAGATGCTTTCCTCTAATTGAATCTGTGGCAACCCAATGACCATCTCCTTTTTCACCATGTTATTCAGGACACCAACACTTATATGACCAAGTCGTGAATGCCAAGTCATTGCTTCATCATCGCTTTGTATTTGTAGACACTTTGGAAAGCTTATTTCCATTGGTGTCTTGTAGAGACGGTTTGGCGATCGTATGACCTGTACTAGTAACCTTCCTTGTGCATCACTCAACGTGAGAGCTTCACCTTTCATGTTGACTTCGCACCCGTGTTCTGTCGCTTGTCCCAGGCTTATGATATTGTGCTTAAGCTCAGGTATATAGTAGATGTCTTTGAGTGCCCTCTTATCACCATTCTTGCTTACAAACACTATAGTACCTTTTCCCACAATATCAACATACGACCCATCACCAAACTTCACTTTTCCTTTTATGTTTTCATCTAGGCTTGAGAAAAATTCCTTGTTCCCTGTCATGTGATTACTTGCTCCATTGTCAAGATACCAAATACTCTTGTTATTGGTATCATATACCTTCGGGAATACCTTTTCTTCATTTAGGAACACCACCTCGTGTATGTAAAGCGCGTCAGCTTCTTGTGTTTCATTCAGATTCGTTTCTTGTTGTTCTACAGGTCTCTCAGGGCATTTAGCTACAAAGTGACCAGGCTTGTCACATCTCCAACAGATTATTTTGGATCGATCTCTCTGTTGGTGTTGTTGCTCTGCGTTTTCTCCTCCTTTGTTTTGGCCGTTGGACCTCCCTCGTCCTCTGCCTCTTCCGGAGCTAGTGTTGCCCTGATTTCCTCTTCCATACCCTCCACGGTTGAATCCTCCTCTACCTCTGGCTCCTCCATGCGAGTTTCCATAGCCACCACGGGTATTATTGGAGTTGGAAAACATAAGTTTTCCCTGATCTTCTCTTTGGGTGTTCTTCTTTACTCGATCTTCATAGGCTTTGATTCTTCCTACTATGTCTTCAAAGCCAGTAGTCTTTAAATCAAGTACTTGTTCGAGAGACGCTACGATGTGAATGAATTTCTCTGGAAGTGCTGACAAAAACTTCTTCACAAGTTTTGTTTCATCAAGGATTTCCCCTAGGGAAGCCGATTGAGCTGCTAGTCCTGACATCTTCCCTGCAAATTCATCCACTGTCTCTGAATCTCCTCCCATCGTCAACCGATCTAGTTCAGCTTTTAGGGTTTGGAGTCTCGCTTCCTTCACTCGGTCCGCTCCCTGGTGACGGGATTTTATCGAATTCCATATGCTTTTAGCTAGATCTTGCTCTCCTATTTGTAAGATAAGTGCCTCGGGGATAGATTGGAATATTAGTGCCGTCGCCACATTGTTTTTCTTTTGATCCCCGTTTCCTGGATCAATTGTATCCCATACTTCACTTACACGAAGCATTACCTTCATCCTCATCGCCCAGACCGTGTAGTTCGTCGGTGTTAACATTGGACATTTTATCGACGGAGCTCCAAGGTCCTTCGTTCGTGGTGGAGGATTCTGCACATCCGCCATGGTTGATCACAGGTCTTGATCCTTCAAAGCTTCAACACAAGCTCTGATACCAATTCAAGTTAGTTATGTAGAAATCAAAAGTTTAAAGAACTGCACTTCTTTATTAGATTTAGAAAACTCTCACAAAAACTAAATCTCTCTATTGAAGTCTTGTAGAACAACTCTCTACATAGAACTCCTTATATAGGCATAAGCAACATCCTAAACCTATTAGGATTACAAAACCAATTTCCATATTTTGTAAACCTTGTTTTCCTTTTTTCTAGTTCTCTAGAAACTTCCACTTTCTAAAGAAACTTGTTCCCCAAGTTCTGGAATTATCCAACATAGAGAAGAGGAAAGTTTGGTGGTTGTGAACGGAGAAGAGGAAGAGCATGATTCGAGGGAACGATTTCTTCTTAGATATTTTTTGCAAGAATGGAAGCTCGTTAAATCCCTTCTCGATGATATTGTTGCAAATGGCCGTGTCATTGATCCTTCTTCTGTTCAGAAAATCCGCTCCATCGTACGTTTGCTTCTTTCTCTTTTAACTTCATCTTCTTGTGTGATTCCTATTTTTAAGACATTTTTGTGTGTTGTATTGTAGATGGATAAATACCAGGAGCAAGGTCAACTAGTGGAACCTTACTTAGAGAGTATAGTTTCTCCATTAATGTTTATCATCCGTTCGAAAACAGTTGAATTAGACGCCAAACCTGATGAAATTCTCGATATTATTAAGCCGATAAGCATTATTATCTATGCTTTAGTTACTGTATGTGGTTACAAAGCTGTTATCAAGTTCTTTCCGCATCAAGTATCTGATTTGGAACTCGCTGTGGCACTTCTGGAGAAGTGCCATAGTATGACTTCTGTTTCGTCGTTGAGGCAAGAAAGCACTGGAGAAATGGAGGCTAAATGTGTTACTCTTTTGTGGCTTTCTATCCTTGTGTTGGTCCCGTTTGATATTTCTTCTGTTGATACAAGCATTGCAAACGATAAGAGCTTTGGTGTGGACGATCTGGCTCCTTTGGTATTGAAGATTTTGGGTTTCTGTAAGGACTATCTGTGCAGTGCTGGCCCTATGCGCAGGATTTCGGGATTGCTTCTTTCTAAGCTTTTAACGCGTCCGGATATGGGAAAGGCATTTGCAAGGTCTGCTCCTATCACCATAAGTGCTTCAGTTTTGAGTTTCGTTTATGTGTTTGTTCTGCTCTGAACGCTTGTCTTCTATCAACAAAATTGTTCGGATTACGCAGATGGACTAACTTTTCTCTGTTGCGCTGTGGCATTTCTGTTTCAGTTTTTTCGAGTGGACCCATGAAGTTTTATCTTCTAAGGAAGATAGTGTTGTGAACAACTTTCGCTTGATTGGTGTGATGGAGGCTCTGGCTGCCATTTTTAAGGTTTCTTTTCTGTAACCTGGAGTTATTCACTTTGTTTTCAATAATGGTCCATACTGGAACACGTTAGACATAAATATAGATGGCAGTAAAGTAACCGATTTGATTTGTATGGTTTTATCTTGTAGGAAATATTGCTGGTTTCGATTACTTAGGTTTTCGTATTTTGCATCTTACTTTTATATGTCTTGCTAACATTGGCAGACTGCTAGCCGGAAAGTGTTGCTAGATGCCCTTCCTGTTGTTTTGAATGATGTGATCGTGCTAAGCAAATCAAATGGAGCAACTAGAAGTCCTCTGCTTCGCAAGTATTTGATCCAGTTAACTCAGAGGATAGGGCTTGTTTGTCTTCCTCATCGCTCACCTTCCTGGCGCTATGTGGTAAATACCTTTTAGCATGTATAATAGTAGTGTGAAGCAACTTCCTCCCTCATGGGTTTAATATTTTAGAATTTCTGGTTATGCCCGTAATTTAAATACTCTCATTCTCAAGTTAATCAGCTGAAACTGGTTTATTGAACACCATGCAGGCTCAAACCGCCTCCCTTTCTGAGAATATATCTATGAGTTCGACCCACTTGTTGGCACCGCCAGATCATGCTGTCTTTGCCGTCTCGCAACCAGAAAGTTCAGATGACCAAGAGGATGAAGATATGGATGTTCCTGAAATCTTAGAACAGATAATTGAAATGCTACTCTCTCGTTTGAGAGACACGGTACGTTTAGTGGGTGAGATACTACTGTTAGGCTGACAACTAGAGGTGGTTACATCTCAACTTATAGAAGTAGATGACAACATGATAATCTGAGTAAAAATACGCTGCTATGCACCTAGCTGGAGTGACTAGTTAACACAAAACAGATATGTTTCGTGGATGCTATAAATATTTGTATGCTCAAATGAAACTTTCAGCTGCCAACCAGAAAATCTCACATGTTACTAGTATTGGCAAGCATTTTCCTTCCATTTTTTTTTTACTATTTGAGTATTTTCTGAACTGTGTAGGACACAGTAGTTCGTTGGTCTGCTGCAAAGGGTATAGGTCGTGTAACTTCACGACTAACATCCGTTCTTTCTGAAGAAGTGCTGTCATCTGTATTGGAACTGTTTTCACCAGGAGAGGTACTCAAAATTAATGGATATCTGGCATGTTCTAAAATCCAATCAAAACAGGCTGACAGTTATTATATTCAGGGAGATGGCTCATGGCATGGGGGTTGCTTGGCTTTAGCTGAACTGTCTCGCAGAGGGTTACTGTTGCCTAGAAGTTTCCCACAAGTCGTCCCAGTTATTGTTAAGGTCGTACTCTTTCCCAGTCACAGCATTACTTATTTCTCTAGTCAATGCATATGAAGCAATGGCATCACTCACCCAAATTATGCAGAAGCTGTATGGATTTACATCTAAATATCATTTACAGGCACTCCATTATGATGTCCGTCGAGGTCCGCACAGTGTTGGATCTCATGTGCGTGATGCAGCTGCCTATGTTTGTTGGGCATTTGGGCGCGCCTATTACCACAAAGATATGAAAAATGTCCTGGATCAGCTTGCTCCAGATTTATTGATAGTGGGTTCCTTTGATAGAGAGGTACTAATCACTCTTTTGACACTATAATTTGTTTGCCATTTCTTGTTTGATTTAGAGAATTATGTTTTTTATGATCTCTTCATTGCGTAAAGTTTATTGATTTCTTTTATCAGGTGAACTGTAGAAGGGCTGCTGCCGCTGCTTTCCAAGAGAATGTTGGAAGGCAAGGAAATTACCCTCATGGGATTGACATAGTGAACATAGCTAACTATTTTTCCCTTTCTTCTCGGGTGAACTCGTACCTTCAGGTTGCTGCTTCCATTGCTCAATATGAAGGGTATCTATATCCTTTTGTGGATGAATTGCTATACAACAAGATCTGCCACTGGGTATGCTCTGTTTGATATTGGTTCGCCTCTGGTTTCTCTGCATATCTAAAACCTTTTTAAGGCCCTGCTTGTATTTAATGTTAAAACGGTTTTTTCTTAGGTAGTCGACAGACTAATTTTAAAATTCAACAACCCATAAACTAGAGCTGATAGTTTGATTGGGTTCTGTATCAAATCGTTGTTCCTAGTTGTATCTTCCATATTATGTTAATTATTCAATCTTGTCATTTCAGGATAAAAGCTTGAGAGAACTTGCTGCAGAAACTCTTGCTGCTCTTGTTAAATACGAGCCTAAGCACTTTGCCAACTATGTGCTGGAGAAACTAACTCCTCGTACCCTTTCAAGTGATTTGTGCATGCGCCATGGTGCAACATTGGCAGCTGGAGAGGTTGTGTTAGCTCTGCACCAGTGTGGCTATGTACTTTCTGCTGGTTGGTACCATCTAATTTTTCTGCTTTGACTTTTCTGGCATCTTTGCATATGCGAGTACATATCAATTTTAGTATGGAAAACCAAATATATGGGAACCATCTTTGAATCTGGACCTTATCATCATAGATGTACTCAGACTGTATTCAGCCCCATTCGAGCATCATTATCCCTTATATTTAATGTTCCTGAATCCTGATGCACTTAATTTTTACAGATAGCCATAAGCGTATGGCTGGGATTGTCCCTGCCATTGAGAAAGCACGGCTTTATCGTGGAAAAGGTGGAGAAATAATGCGACTGGCTGTCTCACGGTTTATCGAGTGTATCTCGTTATCGCATGTGACATTATCTGAGAGAACAGAACGGATCCTGCTTGATACCCTCAATGAGAATTTAAGACATCCCAATTCTCAAATACAGGTACCTACGTTTCTAAATATTATGAAGTTATTTATTTTCATCCTGTTAGCATAATTCATTAGTTAACGGGTTCACTTATTATACAGAATGCAGCTGTCAATGCTGTTAAACAGTTTGTGCAATCCTATCTCGTTTGCAATGATAAGATTGCTGTTGATTTAGTATCAAAACACCTGACACATCTAACCGACCCAAACGTAGCTGCTCGGAGAGGTTTTGCACTTGCACTAGGTGCCTTGCCATGTGAACTATTGACTGCAAAGTGGAAGGATGTAGTTTTGAAGCTCTGCAGTGCATGTCAGATAGAGGTAAAGAAGACGACATTTGACTACATCGGTCTCCAATCCTTAAAAAAACAGTATAAATTTTATTGAATTTGACGGATGTTTTTTTTCCCAAGCAGGCTAATCCTGAAGATAGAGATGCTGAGGCACGCATGAATGCTGTGAAGGGACTCATATCCGTGTGTGAAACTCTTACTCAGCGAAGTGCTAGTGATCCTGAAAACGATGACCTGTCTCTTTTTGTTCTTATCAAGACTGAAGTGGTGGATACTTTACTGAAAGCTCTTGATGACTATTCAGTTGATAACAGAGGTGATGTTGGTTCTTGGGTTCGTGAAGCTGCAATCCATGGACTTGAGAAGTGTACATATATTCTCTGTAAGAAAGTCCGAACAAATGCAGCGGATGATCATAACAATGAATCATCCTCGCTTTTTGATTCAAGTCTCGCAAACCATTTGATTGGAGGTATTGTGAAACAAGGAATGGAGAAAATGGATAAATTAAGAGAAACTGCTGCAAAAGTTCTTCAAAGGATTTTGTATCACGAAACTGTTACCGTCCCTTTCATACCTCATAGAGAAACACTGGAAGAAGTTATTCCCAACAAAGCAAGCTTACAATGGGCGGTATGCAGATCCTGGAGCCTTGGGTTGCTTCTTCTGTTTCAAAGTGTTTATCTGAATATAAGTTATTTTATTCTTTTGTAGGTTCCGGAATTCTCTTTCCCACGTTTTGTTCAGCTCTTGAAATTCCGTTGTTATAGCAAACAGGTAATGTCTGGATTAGTAGTTTCTATCGGAGGATTACAAGAGTCGCTTAAAACAGCTTCACTCTCTGCATTACTGGAGTATTTGAGGGAAGAAGATGAAGCTAAAGACCTCAAACAACAACAATCTAGAGAATCTGCGATTTGCGACGACATCCTCTGGATACTTCAAGAGTACAAAAAATGTAACCGAGTTATCG